TGGTGGTGGTGGTGGTGGTGGTGGTGGTGGTGGTGGTGGTTGTGGTAGTAATAGTACTAGCAGTAGTAGTAGTAGTAGTAGTAGTAGTAGTAGTAGTAGTAGTAGTAGTAGTAGTAGTAGTAGTAGTAGTAGTAGTAGTAGTAGTCGTACGTGCTGCTACAACTACTACAACTACGGATGTAATATTAATTCGACATATTGCGGATCGGATGATGAGGAGGTGTCGAGGGTCAGGATCGGCCTTCTTGGTGGTCGTGTAGGTCAACAGTCGAAGCTCTCCTGCGCCGCGCGTAGGCGAGAACCATCAAGCTCTACAAGCTGCCAGAGACTCCCAAGCTGCCTGGCATGCGCGAGATGAGGGCGTCAGACGTTCCCAGGCGGGCTGAACGCTCCTGCTTTTCCGTGCCTCTGCGGAGCGGATCTCTACCTGGTCTTGCAGCACTTTGACTGTACCGCCACTGTTTGTGCTGCTGCCGCTGCTTCTGTTGCCTTTCAAACGCCTGTCCCTGTGCCTGCTTCTCGCTTCAAATTCTTGACGCTTCGCGTGCCCCTGCCAGCCCATCTAGACGGTTCTGAGGCGAGCTGCCCTGATTTGGGAAGCGTTGCATTATTGCGCGACCTCTGGGAGACTCGTGGAGATCCCTTGAGGTCATATATGGGCACCGTTGGGGCTTTTCCCGGAAAGGGCTTCAGGCCAAGGGTTCTCTTTTAGTTGGTTTACCACCCGGTTTCGACTTGAAGGGTGCCAGCGAAATTATTCTGCGTAAATAACGAGGTAAAGTGCTGATTATCAGTCGAAGAAGTGCGTTTTGTGCGTGCCCTCTCGAGGAAAGTGCGCCCCCCATTTCGGATCCTCGATAAAAAACGGGGTCCGCAGACCCCCGCTTTCCATTGTAAAAAAAAAGGGTACGTAGCGTTTTTCGCAGAATCCTCTACAAATAACGGGGTCTGGAGCCCCGTCCGCGACGCGGAAAAGCGCCCCGCGCGCAGGAATCCCGAGGATGTCTCGCGCGTGCCGCGTCCCGCGCGCAGGAATTTCGAGGATGTCTCGACGAATTCGCTTGTTTCGTCAGGATTTCTTAGAATTTAGGTAGGATGTCTCGAGCGAAACGCTTTTTATATAGTTTGGTGAGGATTTCTCGAGGGAAACGCTGGTTTTGCAAAATTTGGGAATGTCTCGAGCGGGGGCCTGGTGGGGGGCCAGAATTCAGAGGATGTCTCAGGCGAAATGCTTGTTTTCGTGTCCCGCTCGCAGGAATTCCAAGGATGTCTCGCGCGTGCCGCGTCCCGCGCGCAGGAATTTTGAGGATGTCTCGACTAATTCGTTTGTTTTGCCAGGATGTCCTTGGATTTTTCCCGGAAAGGGCTCAGGCCCAGGGTTCTCTTTTAGTATGTAAACATAGTCCCCGGTGCCCAACTTGAAGGAGGCCGGCGAAATTTTTCCCTGATGAATATCGAGGTCGAAGGAGGCCGGCGAAATTATTTTTGAGGATGTCTCGAGCGAAACGCTTGTTTTTGAAATCCCGATCGATAAATCACAGGGTGCGGGCCACTTTTTCGTGTGTTGAGGATGTCTCGAGCGAAACGCTTGCTCCGCAGAGTTTGCCGAGGATGTCTCGAGCGAAACGCTTGTTTTGCAGAGCCGACCGCGACGCGGAAAAGCGCCCCGCGCGAAGGAATTTCGATGATGTTTCGACTAATTTGTTTGTTTTTGTACGATTTCCTGGAATTTTGGCAGGATGTCTCGAGCGAAATGCACGACCCCACCCTAGCACGACCATACCCCAGCACGACCACACCCCAGCACGACCAGACCCCAGCACGACCCCACCCCAGCACGACCCCACCCCAGCACGACCATACCCCAGCACGACCACACCCCAGCACGACCCGACCCCAGCACGACCCTACCCCAGCAAGACCACACCCCAGCACGACCACACCCCAGCACGACCTCACCACAGCACGACCACGCACCCACGCACGACCACGCCCCAGCACGACCACGCCCCAGCACGACCACGCCCCAGCACGACCACCCCCCACGACCACCCCCCAGCACGACCACCCCCCAGCACGACCACACCCCAGCACGACCACTCCCCAGCACGACCACACCCCAGCACGACCACACCCCAGCACGACCACACCCAGTCGCACCCCCGTGGAATGTTTCGTGGCGTGTCTGGTTGAGTGGTTGCCTGTTCGTGGGGTGTCTCGTGGAATGTTTCAAAGGGTGTCTCGTGGAATGTTTCGTGAGGTGTCTCGTGGAATGTTTCGTGAGGTGTCTCGTGGGATGTTTCGCGGGGTGTCTCGTGGGATGTTTCGTGAGATGTCGCCCAGTTGGGTATCGTGAAAACGTGACCATGCTGCACATGTCTTTATCCCTTTCCGGGTTCGTGGGTCCATCATGTTTGACCAGATGTCTCAAGCGAAACGCTTGTTTTTCATAATTGGTTGAGGATGTCTCGAGGGAAACGCTGGTTTTGCAAACTTTGGGGATGTCTCGAGCGGGGGCCTGGTGGGGGGCCAGAATTCAGAGGATGTCTCAGGCGAAATGTTTGTTTTCACGTCCCGCTCGCACGAATTCCGGGGATGTCTCGTGGGTGCCACGTCCTGCGCGCAGGAATTTTGAGGATGTCCCGTAGCGCGTCCCCTTGGCACGTCCTACGGTGCGACCCCATGGCACGTCCCTTGGCAGGTCGCCTGGCGCGTCCCTTGGGACGTTTCGCGGCGCGTCCTCCTGGCATGTCCCCCTGTCAATTAGCTCTGGGGCAGCCACTATGTGTTCAGCCAGCTCGAGCTTCAGATCCAGATCAGTTCCTTGCGTTACATTCCTATATTCCTTTCCGGGTTCGTGGGTCGATCATGTTTCGGCAGCCTTGGATGTCCTCGCGGGGTACGTTTTTTGGGGGTCCTTGGGGCTTCTTGAGGGAAGAAGAGGAGGAGCACTATCAGGTGGAGGGGGAGGCCGCCGCCGTGGATTGGGAGTGGGCCTTCGTGTGCCCAGTCGGTGGGATGAAGAGGTTCTCGTCAAAGTGTATAGCCTGGCAGGCCATGCCGCCGGCTTACCAACTGGGCATTCCATGAGTACTCGTTGGTGGCACTTCAATACCGTGACCTGTGTCATAGCTACCTGGATAGATTTGAAGCCAGGTTTGGAGGACAATGCTAGTTACGAGAAGCGCTTCAATACTTTGCGTTGGGGGAAGCAGTTTGCACGTCCATGGTGGGGAGATGATTGGAAGAGTGCCGTGGAAGGCGAAACGTTGGAAATTCTAGACGTTTCGCGTATCCCCACCAGCCCGTCCAGAAATGAGCCCCAGGGGAGTGGAGGTGATGAGGGAAGCGGGGGAGCATGCAGAAGAACAAAGGGCGGGTAAGCCGCCATCTGCCCCAAGAGGGGGAGGATGTAGGAGTCGTCGTCGTCGTCGGAGTAGGAGGAGGAAGAGGAGGAGCAGGAGGAGGAGCAGGAGGAGGAGGGGGAGGAGAGGAGATGGAGGAGGGCGAGGACGAGGAGGACGAGGAGGAGGAGGAAGGAGGAGGAGGAGGAGGAGGAGGAGGAGGAGGAGGAGGAGGAGGAGGAGGAGGAGGAGGAGGAGGAGGAGGAGGAGGAGAGGGAGGGGGAGGAGGGAGGAGGAAGAAAAAGAGGAAGAGGAGGAGGAGGAGGAGGACAATGGCGAGCTTGGGGGCCCCTTGGGCCTTCTTTGGGGCCTCTTGGCGGTCCCGGGGGCCTCTCGCGTATCTCGGGGAGCCTCTTGGGGCCTCTTGGGGATCCCTTGGGAGTCTCTTGGAGGCCTCTGACCACGGTTGCCGCCCTGAAGTTGCGTTAGTTCTCCCACTCCGTAGCCCTACTTGCGTCGAAGAGGAGCCTCTCTACTTTGGTGAGGTCCATCAGCTTGGTCTCCTTCCCTCTGGACTTGCCGGTCAGCCAGGCGTACTTGATCCAGGCGTGGAAGGCCGCGTCGGGTCGTACTCCACCAGGTGGGCTCCAGACATGGGTCCTCCTCTTTGCCGCCTCGGCGGCGTCCGCTCGGGCCCGTAGCCCGGGGAATCAGGCGGAAACCCGCCGGTCACGGAGGCTTTCGGAGGAGGAGTGATAGGTTCGGGTTGTCCAGCATCATCGGGATCGATCTCACCAGCTCGGTTATCATCATCATCAGGCACAGGTACGTCTTCGCCAGGTACAGGATCACGTTCTGGTACAGGCTCAAGTACGGGGGCCTGTGGGGTGATATTCTCGCCCTGCTGTGCCTCAGCCGTCTCCGTGCCACGGTCCCCTCCGGCAGAGCCCGTAGGCTCGGGCCTTGGTTGAGACTCCTCGGCTGCCTCTGGCTCCAGGGCGTGGCCGCCCGACGGGCGGGGAGCGGCTCCTCCAGTAGCGGCTGCACTTGGCGCCGCCGATGCTCTGCCTGGTAGCGTTGCTTCCTCAGGGAACTCTGCAGCTCCTTCCTCTAGGCCTTCGTGTCGGACGTCCAGGAATCCCCGAGGTCCCCGTGGCAGAGCAGCACCTCGTTGATCCGCTGGCATCTGATTCCAGGTGATCAGCTCGTCCTCCGTCGCGAACCTCAGCTCCTCAGATCTCGCCAAGACCGTACCGCCACAGTACCGTAGTCAAACCGCGTGAGGGCTGCCCTGAACGGCAGCTGGGCGTAGTGTAGCGTTGATCCCGTCGGCCATCTTGTTGGGATCACGGTAGTCGTGGCCGATCTTACGGGCGACGCCGAACCAGCGGTGGAACAGCGCCAGGGACTCGCCGGGCCTCACGTGCGTCCGCTTGAATTAGACGTAGGTTCCGACTGGGAAGGGTCCCTTCGAGGTCCTAGGTGCCGACCTGGCCAGCTTCGCCCTCCGCACTCGGTTGTCGTTATCCATCGTCACGAAGGCAACCTTAGCAGCTTCACGCCACAGTAAACTTGAGGCCATGGCAGACTCCGGGTACAGAGCTGCCTCTTATCTCTTATACGTTCAGCTTCTTCGCCTCGCTGTTCTGCAGGACCGACCCGGGGATGCGCAGGCCGCGCGTCCCGAGCACCCAGTTGGACGGTGCGCAGCCGTCGTAGATCACCGTCACGTTGCGAACCTGGTTGATGACCCCGTAGCGGGTGCGGAGGTCCTGCTCCTCCGTGATCTGAGCGTCTTGCACTACTCGATGCCATACTTCGTTCCATACTCCACCTAGTCGCTCGAACCTGCCAAGCTGCTCGTGAGCCTCCAACGCCGCCTTCTCGGTCTCAACGCCGTTCTCGAACATGTGGGCCAGGAACCTTTTAGCGAACTCCTTGCCGCGGTCCACGAACAGTGACTGAGGTAGGCCAGCCCAGCTGGCCCAGAACATGAGGAACACGTCGAGCGCGACCTTGGCCGAGGGCACGTGGGTGCCCTTGTGTAGGTACCAGTCCACCTGGAACCGCGTCCTGTCGCACACGATCTTTAGGAACGCGTGCGTGCCGCCTCCCTCGGCGTCGTGGGCGAACATAATGTCGAGCATCACGTGGAAGTCGAACTGGCATCCGCACCGGGCGCACGTGCTTCGTCCTGACTCTGTCGCCGCAGGCGTCTCATTTGAAGTCCCACACGGCCTCCAGGCACTCCTTCTTCGCCCGCGATCTCTTCGGGCACCTTGCCAGCGTCACGTTGGTAGGGTGGCCGAAGTTCACGTGCACGTTGCGAGTGTCGCGCCTGACTGCTGGGTCGACGGCTAGCCACCGCGCGCGCCTCTCCTTCTCCTCGGGTGAGAGCGTGGGCTCGAAGTTCGCCGCTGCCTCTGCCCTGAGGCCAGTTGGGTCCACCGCGGGCCCGTCCTCATCTGGATGTCCATCTCGTCGTGGCTGGCCGTTCTCAGGTGTTGGACGCTGCGCCGTCTTCTGCTTGCCTCGGAGTCGTCGTCGCTTGGTCTCGGGTAGCAGCTCCGTCGGGTAGCTATCCGTCACGCCGAGCCCCTCGACGCTTTTCTCATTCACGTCCAGGTCGATGTGCTGCTCGATTGCGCGCAGGATGAGCTGGTCGAGCTGGTCGGGCCACTTCGCCGCCACCCTCGTCTTTCGTTCTCGAGCAGTGCGTGGGTGTGGCTGCGGTCGCACTTCGCGTCACGCAGCGCCTCGTAGATGGCGACCGACGTGGTGAGGAACCTCATCGGCTTGTAGTGTGGCTCGCCCGTCTCCTTGTCCGCGTATCCGAGTTGGCAGCCGTGGGGCGTACACTCGAGCAGCACACCCTTCTCCACAAGCTCCCTGGTCCTCTCCATCTCTGGCTCGTCGTAGGCGCTTGATCCCAGGGGCTGCTCCAGCAAGATGTGCCTGCCTCGGCTCACGTGGTCCACCACCAGCTGGTCTGACACAGCCAGCAGAGGCCTCGTCGCCTCCTGAGCCTCGTAGACGGTCGCCGCCGCAGCACTGCCCTTCGCGAGGTTACGTCGCCCCCAGTCTCCCGACCAGCCGCACGGCATCGTGATAACCGTCACGTAGGGAGCTTCCTCCAGCGACTGGCGACGGGCGAGCTGCCTGCCCTTCTGCGTCGCACCGTCCCAGCCGTCCGAGATGTCCAGGAGCTGGCCGCACTTGTAGCCGTAGGTGGCCGGCGCGAGCAGGGTGAGCCCGAATTGGCCGCAGAGGATCTGCTTGAGCAATGTCTTGCCTCTGGGTAGTATCCTGCGCCTGATGACCGTCCCGGCCGTCACGTCCATGGTCTTTGAGCCTTCTTCGCGCGCCTATAGCTCGTCATACTCATGGCCCCGTCGCCGCCCCAGTCGATCTTCTTGGGATCCTCGAAGACCTTCTCGATCAGCGATTCCTGGGACTCTCCTGCACGAAGGCGGCCAGCATCTCCGATGAGTCGATGCACGTCGTATCGATGTAGTCCCCGTCGTGCCCGTCCTGAAGCTGAAACTCCTGGAACTCTGGGCCGAAGACGCTGGTGTCCGGGAAGTCCAGTAGGTTGACGCCGAGGTGGCCGCACGCCGTGTTGATCAGCTTGTAGCCGTACACGCTCAGCTTGGTGAAGTCCGCGACCTTCTTGTCAACGTCGATCACGGCGCCAAGCCTATCTTGCGAGCCCCTGCTGATCAGCAAGGGTGCGTTCTGGGCGAGCTCGGCCGACTCGAACGCGAACGGCCGTCCACCACCGATACCAGCGGGCATGTTGTATACCGTGTCTGACTTAGCTCCTCCGCCGACTCCCCAGAAGTTGGTATCCTCGGGCCCGGGGTCGGTCTTCAGGTTCTTCTCGTGTAGGGCTTCTTCGTAGTCTATCCTCCAGGACCTGCCGTGCATCGTAGCCTGGCACGCCGTGTCCGGAACTGCAGCTCCTGGTGGATCTTTCCTTCTCACGCCGTAGGCCTCGGTCTCGTCCGTAGCGGGGTCGACCATCAGAACCCTGAAGCCGCCGCCGAGGACGTCGAGCGGGTCGCCAGTCTGCCCCTGTGTCTCCGAAGGGACGTCCGCGCTCCACTCGCCGAGGGCAGTTGGCCAGATCAAGTGGCACGCGGGCCGGTACTGGTCCAGCTTGAGCTTGCCTCCCAGCGCCTCCTGTCTCATGGACCTCTTGATGATGTTGACGCCGTAGGCGACCGCAGACTGCTTCTCGGCGATCTCCTCGAACGTGAAACCTGAGTGACTACTTGCCCGTCTTGGTCTTCTCGATGCCCATCGGAGGGTCCTCGACATTGAGGCCGTCCCGTCGGCTTGTCCCTCGAGCTCGCCGATTGAGATCGATCTCCTCGGCTGTGCCCACGGCCTCGGCCACGTCCGCCGCCTTTGCCGTGGAACCTTTGCTTGTGCTGCATGATGGCCGCGAAGCTCTCGAGCGCCTCGTCGTCCATCTGGTCGGTCTCCTCGAGCGTCGCCTCGTCCTCGCCAAGGTAGACCACCTCGTAGTCGCTTTCCGTAGGTGACTGAGCGCCTTGGCCGGCAGAGGCTGTGCCGTCATCTTCATCATCGTATTCTCCCTCTTCTTCTATGCCAGCCTGCCACGCTGACTTGTGCTGATGATGTCCGTGGTGATGCCGCCGTTGGTTGAACCGCTGAGGTCGAGGGACTGGCCTCTGGTCTTTCTTGCCCTTCCACTCTCGCTCGTGAATGTTCGGATGTTGCATACGAAGCGCCTTGCCGAAGGCATCGTTAGTTGCCAGCGCTGCTGATAATGCTGGCGTGGTCTGACTTTCGAGCCACGAGACTTCAAGAGAAGGTGGGCCTGCAAGTCAATGCTGATGCTTGTCTCCTCGCTGACCCTCTTGAGGTCGTCGAATGCCTTGAGCGCCTGGTGATATACTCCTGCATGCTCTCGCCGGGTGACCTTCAGACTGCCTTGTCGTACAGCGCGCCATCGAACAACTCAGCCGCTCGGACGGGCCTCTCCTTCAGCACAGACTCGCCTAGGTTCGTGAGCAGTAACTCCAGTCCGTTGGTGGTCGCCTTCTTCTCATAGCTGCCGCCGCCCTTGCCACCGGCCTCGACCGCCTCAATCTCAAAGGTGAGCAGCTGCTGATGCGTGAGCGACCGGACCGTGTCGTAGGCGGTGCCGGAGAGACCGTTTCTGAGGTTGATGGGCGTCGCCATCTGCTTCTCGTCACCCATGTGCGCGTACAAGGCGTCTCGAGCTCTATCTTGATACTCCTCGAAGAGCGCAGGATCTCCGTCGTAGAGCGGGATGTCCTTCTCGAACTCCAGCTTCGAAACCCTTGACATGGTTACTGATGCACGCGGCGCTGAGCCGCTGCCGGTATAAGAACTGGGAGTCGCAGTGGTACTGCTACACACCGCGTGAAGCCATGCAGCTGCTGGGATGCCAGGCACCGCCCAGGTAGTCCAGTTTGTGCGGGCTAGCCAGCCCCGCGTGGAGCGCGCAGCCCCCGCCACCGGGCGCGCCGAGCAGACCTCCGCGCGATCGCTGCGGAGGCGGGAGCTGGCAGGGGCGAATCGGCCAGCTCCGCTACCATCAAGTGGCGGGCCGCCGCCCGCTGGAAGCTTTCAGATTCTCTGGAACCGTAATTTCAAGAGCTCTGTGAGCTGAACCGTTAGAGGATGAGCGGCAGCGGGTGAGAGCAGGCAGCGGCAACAGGCAGGCTAAAAGTGGGGATGATCGCCGGGGCGCTTCCACAGAGGAGGAGGAGGAGGAGGAGGAGGAGGAGGAGGAGGAGGAGAAGGAGGAGGAGGAGGAGGAGGAGGAGGAGGCCTACAAGGATCTTTTTGTTGGGATAGCCTCCCGAAGGACTCTTGGGGCCCTCTCGGGGCTTCTTGACGTCCCCTTAGGACTGTATTATCGTGTGGGCCTCTTGGGGGCCTCTTGGGCCGTCGTGGGGCTCGTCTGGGCTCCTACCCTTGGCCATCTTGCGGCCTCAGAGGCCCATCGGAAGCGAGCAGGCGAATCCGAATGATTACTCGATTTGGTTTGGCTTCTTGGGGGTGCCCTTGATAGGTCTCCGCGGGCACTCGGAGCCGTCTTGCGGCCGTCCTGGGGCATTTAGGAGATATGATGGAGGCTGTCCTGAGCCATCCTCGGCTGTCTTGTGCCATCTTGGAAGTAATCTTGCAGCAGCGGAGGCTATTTTGGAGCCATCTGGGGCCCCAAAGGGCCGACATTTCGCGCCTCCACCGTTGACGCCAGGGAGGTGGGGGAGGGTCAGTCCCTCCCCGAAGAGGGGAAAAAGGGGCTTTGGAAGGGGACAGAGGGCTGCGCCCAAAGGGCTGGTGGGAGTTGCCCCACGCGTGCTTTCGGGCTTGCTTTGTCGAGCGACAAACGTCCTTCCTGCTTCCATGCGTGATCCATCCCCGCGAGGGTGTCAGAGCTCGTTACCGCCTACTTGAAGAAGTTCCCGCTGCACCCAGAGTTCACGCAGGACGAGGTTGGCCATTGGATGTTGCCGCGATCGCAGGTAATATATTCGGCAGGCTCTGCCAGGCCACCGCATGCGAGACCTGACGGAAAAACATTAGAGCAGGCAGCCATGTTGATACGTATTGGAGCCGAACCCTATTCTGGAGAGGGGGGGTAGGGCGAAAGAGGGCGTTTGGGAATGCCGTGGTTACACTTTCGCATGCAGCTTCTTTCGGCTCCACCTACAGTCAAAATCCATGGTGAGGACGCGGCACTCCCGCAAAGGCACCCTTGCATCCGTGCCTCATCGGCCAACCCTTGACCAGCTTCGACATCCAAGGGCGTTTGATTCGGAAGTTCCACGTGCCTAGCATCCTTCCCTTGCGTCCTTATTGACGATTCTCGATTTTGACTGTATGGACACTTCCTCGATACGTGGGCGCCTGCGGCAAAGGGAGGAGCCTGACCTTGGCTAGCGCGCAGGATCCTGCAACGCTTAACTGACCCGGCTTTGCGCCCCGAGTCGCCCTCCATTCCCAGCATGGAGTGGGGCATCCGGAGCATTGAAGGGAAACACAGATGAAACCCGTGCGCCCCCCAACCCGAAGTGTGTGAGCTCGGGTTGGGTTGGGGTGGTTTGGTGGTAGGTAGTCACATTGGGGTCCCCAGATGGCTGACTGCGAATAGATGGCAGGGGGCTGCGCGCTCGGATTGCGAAGGCCTTACGGCCGGTGCCGCCGACCCTGAAGACGACGAATATGAAAACGAGGGGGAGAAGTAGCAGGAGGAGGAGGAGGCAGAGGAGGAGCAAGAGGAGTGGGAGCAAGGGGAGGAGGAGGAGGAGGAGGAGGAGGAGGAGGAGGAGGCAGGAGGAGGAGGAGGAGGAGGAGGAGAGGGAGGAGGAGGAGGAGGAGGAGGAGGAGGAGGAGGAGGACAGGAGGAGGAGGAGGGGAGGAGGAGGAGGAGGAGGAGGAGGAGGAGGACAGGAGGAGGAGGAGGAGGAGGAGGAGGAGGAGGAGGAGGAGGAGGAGGAGGAGGAGGAGGAGGAGGAGGAGGAGGAGGAGGAGGAGGAGGAGGAGGAGGAGGAGGAGGATCGGGATCGGGATCGGGCCCTTGGGAGTTCGTCTCTGTGGCCTCGTGCCGCCCTATGCAACAGCCTGCCAGCCTTTACAGGGGGGAACTCTGGGGGGCGAGTACGTTCGCCAAACCATCTAGTGCGGCCCGTGGCACACGACGGACGCCGCACCGCCCCCGTGACCAATAGCCTGCGAGGGAGGGGGAGAGGGGGGGCACGGCCTCCCTTAGGGTGGACGCCCTTCATGAAATTATCCCGCCTCCACTTACGCTGGGGATACCCCTCAAGGGCAGCCTCGGGATCACAAGTCCAGAAGAGCTGTGTGCGTGCTGACCTGGCCGAGAACGCCCCACACTTACTACATCCCACAACGTCCCCAGAAATATACAAAACATGCCCTCTCGTCGACCAGGGCGGGACCTCCCCCGACCTCGGCAGGGGCTGCATGGGAAGGTCCGCGTCCGCCAGCGATGGCGGGGTGCCTCTCGCTGCCCGCTTCACGCCTCGCGCCGTCGCCACCGAGACCGCACCCGCGAGGGCCTCCCGAGGGTCCGCGGGAGCCCTCGAGGCCTCCGAAACATGCACCCTCTTTCGCGGCACGAAGCACGGCGGAGGAGGAGGAGGATGAGGAGGAGGAGGAGGAGGATGAGGAGGAGGGGGAGGAGGAGGAGGAGGAGGAGGAGGAGGAGGAGGAGGAGGAGGAGGAGGAGGAGGAGGAGGAGGGGTAGCAGGAGCGAAACGGGGGTCGACTCCAGCAGGACCAGTGGGGCTTGGTGGGGGGTCGGCCACAGGACACGCCACAACAGCCCCAGGACAGGAGGAACTCGAGGAGGGGAGGTCGCTCGACGAGGTCGGAGGCGAAAGAGGAGGGGTGACCCGAGGCGTAACCCTGTGAGGCCAAAACTCCTCTTGCTGCTGCTCCTCCTGCCCCCCGTCGTCCTCCAGACGACGACACGGCGCTCTCTCCGCTCCCTGCATATCGTCACCTTCCGAATTTCGAGTCGTCCTCGGGTCAGGCCTAGGCAGCTCTCTGGGCCCCCCAGGGCCGATCGCTCCAGGCCGCGAGACCTGGTGGCCGTCTCGGTCTCCAGGTCCCCCTCCCTCGGACGCTTCCTCGGCCCCAGGACCTCAGGCTCCCAGGAGCCACGGGCCAGGTCGGGTCGGGTCTGGCAGCGGCCCCGACGGAGCCGCTCCAGACCCGCCATGGAGCGAGCCGAGCGGGGGCAGTGGGCACATCGCCAGCCGTGCTGGCCACGATCAGGGACGTGTTTCCCCTCGCGTCGGCCTCCTCTCGAGGCGTGATCAGGCGTGCGCCTGTGCCGCCACCGTCAGGAGCTGCGCCAGCGCCGCGTCGGCTGGCAGCACGGCCGCGGCGCCCAAGGATAGCCACCCTGTCCGCTGGCCTCGCCTCCAGGTGGGCCTGGCTGTTGCCGATCCAGGCCGCCACCTGGCGCAACTCCTCCAGGAGCTCGGCGTGGCGCTCGTAGACGGCCGCGGGCACCCCGTGGATCGCTATGCCCTTTTCGACGCCATGTCCGCGTAGTCGTTGCCGATCTTGTCGGGTGATTCGCCCGGCTCCGAGCCTGTCTGGTGGCCCTTGATCCATGTGATGCTGAGGTCGGAGCTGAGGCCGCCATGATCCTCCAGCGCGTGCCACAGCTGGCGCCACAGGTCCACGTTCTCCCTGCGCGGGTGCGTGGTGTGCCTCTGCCCCTACTCGAGACCCTCCACAATGCCCAAGCAGTCCGTCTTGATCTTCATGGGAGTCTGGCCATGCTTCAGTACCCGGATGATCGCGTACAGCTCGCCTCGTTGCGTTGTTTGCCGGGGGCCAGGCAGCGGCCCACATGCCATGCCACGTAGCCGCTTCCCGTTCATCACCGCGATGCCCCAGCCCGCTCGATTCGCTTCTGGCCAGTGAAGTGGGCACTTGGCCGATCCATCGGTGAAGATCTCCCCCGTGATGGTCATGTCCCTGCCGCCCATGCAGTAGTACCGAGGAGGAGGAGGAGGAGGAGGAGGAGGAGGAGGAGGAGGAGGAGGAGGAGGAGGAGGAGGAGGAGGAGGAGGAGGAGGAGGAGGAGGAGGAGCAGGAGGGGGCCGCTTGGGCGCCTCTTGGAGTCTCTTTTGGGACTCCTTGGGGGTCTCTGGGGAGTCTCCTGGGGCCTTTTTGGAGCCTCTTGGGGCCTCCTGGGAGCTTCGGGGCGGAAGGCTCGGATTCTTGGTTCGGGCTCCCCGTCTTGGGCCCGTCTTGGGGTTCTCTTGGGCCGTGCTGGGCGCCTCTTGGCAGCTTCTTGAGCCGTCTTGAGGCTTTCTTGGGGGCCACTTTGGCCGTCTTCAACGCCGTGAAGGCCGAAAACATGTACATGCTAAAAGTGCACGTTCTCTCATGGAAATCAATGATTGTGGCCTCTTGGGACCTTCTTGAGGGTGCTCTTGGAGACTTCCTGGGACGTCTTGGAAGTTTCTTGGGCCGTCTTGGGGCCATCTTGGGCGTATTGGTCCGATCTTTGGGCGACTCGGGGCCGTCCTGAGCATTCTGAGCTCCTTCTCAGACTTTTCCAGGTTTCGGGGCCGCCCGAGGGGGAAACGAATCTGGGTGGCGACCCCCCGGGACCCCCCCTCCTCCCCTGGAAGGGATCAAAGGGAAGGGGCTTCCTTTCGACTCCACTACGACGTTGTTCAATTTCGCTTTGGATGGCGCGCTTGAGGAGGAGGGTCCAGGGAAAGGGACGGGGGACGACGGAGACGGCGAGGAGACGACTGTGACGACGACGGAGACGACGAGGAGACGACGGAGACGACGATTCGAAGAACGGAGAAGCCCCTCACAAACGCCGACAGGGTCGGCGGATTTGGCCCTGAGCGACCCGCCAAAGCGGCGGTCGACAAGGCGACTCTTGCCTGGGGTCGCTCTTGCGTACAGCCGAGGGGGGCGTGCAGACATCCGAGGGTCTGTGCTTGAGCCGGCTGCTTCCTATTCTCCCACGGGCAGCCTCGATCGGCCGCGAAATCCGAGCCCTACCCTCGCTGACCAACGATTCAGACAATTCGATGGGCGGCGGGGGTAGGCTTCGGAATTCATTCGTCGACCCCACCCCACCCCCGCCTCCCATCGATTCAGGAGAATCGGTGGTTGGTGGGGGTAGGCTTCGGATGTCGCCGCCTATATGAGAAGAGAAGCGATGGGGTTGTCTCAGGCTCTTCACGTGTGCAGAGCAGCCCCCAGCCATTCCCTGGGTGCCGCCCGCTCAGCATGTCTGCGCGTGCGAGAGGCAGTTTCGAAAGCGAGCGCCCGGGGCCGCCGTGGGCTCCGGGCACCACAAGGACCACAACCACAACTGAGTGGATTCTTGTGTAGGGCCCAGGGTGCTGACGATTGTTGGCATGCAGAAGACACCTCCAGGGCTCCAGGGTGCGTCCTCGATGTGGTTGTGGTCGCTTGCTGTCCCCTCATGGGCGCAGTCTCACGTGCGCGGCACTCCCCACCGGCGTGGGGACCGCGGGCTCCTACGTCAACGAGAGCGAGTCCGGGGAGGTGACCGACGTGTGCTCCTTCTAGCCGGCCGCCTGTCGGCGAGGGCCGGCCCCGCCAGGAGCATCTCAGCTCTGCCACTTTCGCCGTGCTCCAGGCCCTTGTCGCCCTTCCCTCGCAGCCCTTCAAGCAGCAATCCATGTAAGACGATCGCACAACTGCTGGGGTGCCAGAGGCACTGGCCAAGATTGCTAAGGCCTTACGGCCGGTGCCGCCGACCCTGAAGACGACGACGAATACGAGGAGGAGGAGGAGGAGGAGGAGGAGGAGGAGGAGGAGGAGGAGGGGGATAAAGGTGGAAGGGAGCAGGAGAAGGTGAAGGAGATGTCCCCCATTTGGGCCGAAAGAGTCGTAGCAGAGACAGACGGGGAGCCTTGTGGCCTGCGGCCCTTCCCGCCACCGTGCTTGGGTTGTGGTTGAAAGGCCTCTTGCATGTTTTCGCGCCTGTTGGGGCCTCGGTTGGGCCTCTTTGAGGTCTCTTGGGAGCCTCTTCGGGCCCCTTGAGTTGCTCTTGGGGCCTTCCGGGGGCTTCTTGGGGCGGGAAGCTCGAAATGTCGGTTCTTGGTCCTCTTCTTCG